TAGGCAAGTGCATTGAAGATGGTAAAAATACAATTAATAGTTATAAACTATTAGATATATAGAAAAGTCTCCAACAAAGTGTCTATATTCTTTTTGAGCATACATATAAAATTTATAGAAATTTTATAGAAATAAAATATGTATAATACATAAATGAAGTTCTATAAGTTCGAAAATATTAATAACATATATAGTATACTATTCAGTCCTATTGTAATAAAATTAAAAATAAATTCTTATAAATAGCTAAACAATTCCTTATATTTGAAAAATATACATAACATTTTCTAATAACCCTTTGGTTAATAAGAAACAATAAAATAAATTAAGAAATACTTGGTACTTAACAATAAAGAAAACACTGCACGCCAATATAATAGAGGGAAATTTATAGCTTTAAACTCATTTTTCAGGAAAGATGAAAGATTAGCAACATAAATTCAAGAAGTTAGTTGAAAAGTAAAACATCAAGGCCAATGTAATAAGGAAAGAGAGAATTATAAAGACTGGTGAGGAAAATGAAAAAAGATATATTTAAGTCCTTTGAAAAGATTATGATAGACTTTGGAAAGATTGAATAAGAATAAAAGAAAAGCTCTAAATTTTAAAATATTGAATGAGAAAGGGCAACTAGCCATATTCAAAATAGACATTGAAAGAAACAAAAGTGTTATAAGCAACTGTTCATGATAAAGTTGAAAGTATATGTGTAAATTCTTAGATGAATAAATAAAAAATGCCAAAATTTCTGTAAGAAGACATTTACTACTTGAATAAACTAAAACAGCTGGAATCTTATTGTGCTAAAAGACCCTCTTTCCCAAAAATTACAGAGCCAGAAGCTTTTAATGGTGACTTCCACCTATTTATCAAAGATCAGTTAATTCTTAACATAGGCAAATATTTTCTGTAAAATAGAAAAAGAGCAAATACTCTCATCTTATTTTATGAGCATGTGCATTTATGATTCCAAAGTCAATTAATGACAATATGCATAAATAAACTAATAGACATTTTCACTAATTAATGTAGATGTAAAATTCCTATATAAATAAATTCAAGATTATATTAAAATGTGTTCTAGGTTTTGAATTGAATGATTGATATGTTCTAATTCAGAATCCAGAAAGAGATGACAGCAACCTCAACAAACATGAGAAGAACATATATTTATTAAAGCTGTGATTATTTTATTTTTTAAATGTGCATCTGGTGGAATCCAGGAGAAACAGATTTCATATCACTGGGAATCACCTCTTCCAAATTTTGGTAGACTCAAACAGAATGTTTTGTGCTTTTTCCTCCTCTATATAGAAGATTCAAGGTTAACTAAAGATTACATTAATATATATTTTTAAAAATTTTTGTAGTTGTAAATAATTCTGTAATGATTTTCTCTTCTAGGAAGACTATAGTTGGTATAATTGAAGGTTGGATAAGAAAGCAAGACTAAGATAATTGTAATTGCTCGCTCTCAATAGAGGGAAAACATTGGATTTAATTCTGCAAATATGGTGCTATTTTAGATTTAAGAGCAGATAATTTTATGTGCTGCCCTTGATTACATATCTAATTACTATGCCTTTTTCCATAAAAATAACAGATTGTGTATTTTACGCAAAAGATGTTGCAAATACCCACGTCATTTGCTAAGTTCCCATTAAAATGCTGTGAAGGGCCAGCCTGGTGGTGCAGGAGTTAAATTCCCACTTTCCGCTTCAGCGGCCTGGGGTTCGCCATTCGGATCCCGGGTGCAGACATGGCACCGCTTGGCAAGGCATGCTGTGGTAGGCATCCCACATATAAAGTACAGGAAGATGGACACGGATGTTAGCTCAGGGCCAGCCTTCCTCAGCAAAAAGAGGAGGATTGGGCTGCAGATGTTAGCTCAGGGCTAATCTTCCTCAAAAAAGAAAAACGCTGTGAGACTTAAAAGTGCTGTTACTTTTTAAATCACAAAGGTATAAAAGAAGATAAACTTCTGAAAAAATTAAATTGAAAAAGCATTAAAATCTGTCTTGATCGAATTCTGTTTGAAAATAAACTTTTTATGAATATGTGAACATTTTTTATTCCTAAGCAAATAATGGACTGGCAAATCTTTCAACTGTGTGTTCCTCTTGAAAAACCTAACAGGCAGCAAGGAAGAATGAGCTCTCAGGTGCAACCAGAGTAATTAAAGATATTAATGCTCATTGGATGCATTTCACTACCCTTGTTAGTTTTTATGGCTTAACTTGCCCTAAGTGAGACATAATTAGTCTAAAGACGAGAATTAGCTTCAAGCTTTGACTCTCATTAAAAGTAAAGAATTGCTATGTTCTTCCATTCTGTATTCAAAGTAAATAAATGGTATTTTCTGTCTCTGAGAATTATTTCATAACTATCTGCTAGAAATGCTTATTCTTCCAGGGATGTTAAAACCTGCTGGGATTTTAGACCAATGGTTTCAAATACTAATGCTTCTTGAATATTCTGATATATTTTAGGTCCTGAATACTTGAGTATTGCATTCTCAAGTTTCTCTGTCCTCGTTTAAAATTTAAATAATTATATTCTTGACATTGCAATATATTTTCTTTCACTCAATTAAGGTTAGTTGTTAATTATGGATAACGTATACTGCATAGTATCAAAATGTGAGGATTTGTGGGCAAATGGTATCAGTGAAAGAGCAGGTTACTAATATCAGCAAGATGGCTTTAAGTAGTTCAAGACTTAAAGACAAATCTGGAACATATCAAAATTTTCCTATGCTCATAAAGTGCTTGGGTAGAGGTAGTAGAAGCCCTGACAGTTGGTTTTTCTTTATTTTAATGCAAGGCCCTGACTTAAGCTTTGATTGTGTGGGGAGGCATCCCCTTCAAAGATGGCGACCTCAAATAACACATTACCAGCCGCAGAACTAGATAAAGAGCCAGGCCCCGCCTCTCCTCGACCACATGCTCCTTTGTTTTAGAGATCCTGGTTGATTTCCATAACTGACTGTTTGGCTACTTGTTTTTTCTCTTCTCATACTTTAAATTCCTGCTCTTATGTCTTAAATTTACCAATAATGAGTGAGCCTGAGGAACTCTAGCCCCCCCACACCTTGTCCCCAGTAACAGCAGAATCCCAGGTCTGCACTCTCTCTCTCTCACTCTTTCTCTCTCTGTGACCTCACGGTGTGGCCCCAAGTGTGCCATGTAATTTCCAGGACTTGTAAGTAATAAACCTTTTTTTGCAAAGTTTCATGATGGTCATTGCTGATGATGTCTTGCAGCCATAGTAAGAACCAGAAGGCCAGTCTAGCCACAACATTGGTTATGTGACTCATGTTTTTGGGTTGCTGTCAGTATCTTCATAGGTCAAACTTACCTTGAAAGTGTTTATGGCCAAAACAATGGACATGGTAGTTCTCAGGCTTCTGCTTCTGTTTTATATGTGGTTTGACCATCAAAAATTGTTTGGTTTAGGTTTCCACTACCATTTGAGAGAATGAAAATACAGGGACACCTACACAGCCAGAAAACAAAAGGAGTTAACATGTGTTATAAAGCCTTGCGCAAACTCAATAAGTATAAATGTACAAAAATATGCACAAGACTAACACACATCAACTGCAGGAGAGTGGTTGCCTCTGGGGAGAGGGAAGGAAGAAAGATTAGATGTAACATTTTCTTTACAAAGTCTGAGGACAATTGGACAAAATATTTATATATGTTTATGTTATACTTCTTGTTCTTTAGTTTATGTTTGAAACGTTTCAGAATTAATTTTTTTTAATCTGTATATATGGTGAAAATTGACTTGACTCCTAAACTTGACTTCTGTTGACTCAATCGATCTCAAGATAATCCACATCACTGGTCTCTTCTGGATCGTTCCAGGGATCCTCTAAGACTTTGTTGGTAGTATATAACTACTAGATACTTGAGGCTACTGAGCATTGTGAAATGGCTAGTCCAAACTGAGATGTGCGAGAAGTGTAAAACACACAGTGGGTCTTAAAGATATATTTCAAAAGATAATGTCAGTTATATTATTAATAATGCATTACTGAGCTAACATCTGTGCCCATCTTCTTCTGCTTTATCTGGGACTCCTGCCACAGCATGGCTTGATAAGTGGTGCATAGGTCTGTGCCCAGGATCTGAACCTACAAACCCCCAGATGCCGAAGTGGAGTGCGTGAACTTAACTGCTATGCTCCTGGACCGGCCCCTCAAAATGATATTGTGAATATATTGAATTAAATAAATATATTAGTAAAATTAACTTCACTCATGTCCTTTTACTTTTTTTTAAAATTTAACTACCAGAAAATTGAAAATTGGAGAAAGTAAATTTTTCATCCACCATGATACAGTTAGCTTTTATCATAGTGAACCCCCAGTGACTATAAATTCTCAAATCTAAACAACTGCGCTATAATGACTTTTTTCGAAGTGCTCAGGCAAATAAAGATGCTGCCTTTATGCAAATACAGTTCAAATAACTGGCCTGGGGTTAAAAATCCCAACAATATCATACTCAGAAGGAAACATTGTTGTTTCTTTGGTACAGTTTTGATAACATTCCATGCTTTTGAAGTCAAGAATATCACTAGGTACTTGCTTTCAAACCTGGGCCACAGGTCAAAGTTACTTGGAGAGTGTTTTATGAATAGGAGATTCCTAGGCCCAATCTGAGAATCTAGTTTTATTTTTTTGCAGTCATATTTTTTTATTGAGGTTTAGACAGGTAAGAGAATCACAGTCATAATGTGCATGGTCTCTCAATTTATAAAGAAAGAAACTTTTATTACTTGAGAAAAGGGTATTTTTAAATAATCAGTGGATATATGTATGAATTGGGCGATGAAGGTTTGGTTAACGAAAATTTTAGTCCTTCGTTCTTTTTCAATATTTATTTTTAAAGAGAGAATCATTTTATTATACTTCAAAAATCACAAAAATAAATTTATAAAAGCCATAGAAATAAATTTGAAATATGTTTACATAATGTTCTATTCATTTTCAGATAAATTTTTTGAAGACTGAAATGGAAAGAAAGAGCAAAATGATCCGAGATCTCCAGAATGAGGTAAGACTTATATTTTAGGCAAATTTTATATAAATCAAAGAGTATGCACAAATACACCTACAGATTTGCAACAAGTTTTGGAGTAGCGATCACATGCAAACTTGGCCCTCAGTTATGTGTTAATGGAGAGGAACTGTAAGGTTAAGAATTTCGAAGAGTAGATAATCCCTACTTTTGTATATGTTTGATAATGTCATTAGTTTACACCTTCCAGTTCATTTTCCCTTCTAATTATACTTTTCTTGGACTAATAGTAAAAATTAATTTTCATTTCATAAATGTATCTGTCTACCAAATGACAGCACAGGTGATAAAGGTGAAGGCTAGACAGAATTGACTTCATGCCAGGAAGAGCCAATCTAGAGTGAAAATTTGTTGAGGAGAATCTTAGAACGCTGTACAATTTGAGCATAAATAAACTGGAACCACTTTCATTATAGCCTTTAAAATGCGAAGGCTCTACAAAATACTATATGTTTTTTTTTCTCTTTTGATTCTTTGTCTATCTTGTCATAAAATTACTTTATTTTCTAAAATTTTGCCATCACATTTCTATTTCTACATCTTTATTAACTTTTTTCTTGAACACAATTAGTTAATTAGGACTGTTAAAGCATGACTGATTAGAAACACCTTCCTTGCTCAATCCCACTAACTATGGCTTATTTTGAATCCCAAATCACTCTCTAGCTTTACTAGTCTATCTTTCTGTCCTTCCTTCCTTCCTTTTACTTCTTGAAATATTTAAACAACAGATGAGCTACCTTATTCCTAAATGGTTTCCACCTTGATATCAAGGTTAAAAACTAGGCTTTACAAATGCCCGGGTGTCAGATTCTGCATCGGTACTCTGATTATGGCGTTAGAATGTTTTATCAGTCTTGTGAAGAACACATAGGAGAAAGGACAGCAAGAAAAGTTTTAAGTGGCTTTCTGATGATTCTATTCTATTCTCTCTTTTCTGTGTCTAACGATTTTCTCTTCTGAGTCTTCTTAAGAAAGTGTGATGGGCTGGGCTTGATAATGTTTTCCCTGAGACCTAAATCTTCTTGGATTTCCTGTTTACGGTGGAAAATGTCAGCAGACCAGAATGCTGGGTGTATTGGATAATTTCCTGTTGGCTGGGGCTCAGTGAGGGTCAGTGAGAGGGCGAGGTCACTCAAGTCAGAACTTCTCCTGGACCGTTTATGACAAGGGGAGTGTTTAAAACAAGATTAAAGTCGATATTAAAATAGGAAAGAAGGTACATTTGGGCGCAAGCACACACACACAACAACATGAACCCAGTTGTGTGATAATGAGAGGATTATGGGTTAATTTATATCTCTATGTAAGTGTTATCTTAACTTATAATCTTAGATAATTTTTAAAAACCTTAAATTCAACTAAAGAGGAAGCTCTTTCAAAATCAAACTGTAAATTATTCATAACAAGTACATATGAGGACTAACAAATTATTTTATTTATTTCCAGGGGATACTTTTATAGTGTAATATAATTTCCTTAGTATATAGGCTAGAATAATTCTAAAAGAAATGCAACTCTACAGAAATATTGTCTGCTAAATGTAAGTTTTGTAATTAAATTTGCTGCTACCCACTTTTATGACACTGAAAAGCTGCAAGATGAAAATTGATAACCAGAAAAGTTTTCAACTTCTCTAGCAAAACCTAATGGTGAATGCATATCATCAGCTGAGTGTTTTTTAATTTGACTCCTTTGTATTAATTCCTCGAATTTTTAGGCTTGTCATTTTGACAAGTGACCGGTATGTAGAGGTTGAACAGGATAATTGACCCATACTCTGTACAGTGCAACTATATGGCACTGCCTGGAAGATTTTTGTTCAGGAGTAGGAACAAAGCAGGTAAAATGATTGAACAAAGTACGAAGAGATGAGGGAGACAATATAGTTATTAACAGGTTTCTGGGAGAAGCTTGAAGTCCCCTGAGTCCTTGTGAGTGAGGCTATTGGAGAAGTCCCAGTAGAAGAAGGGATCTTTGAAACGTTATTGAAGAATGATCAGCGCTTTTTTCATATATGAAGGCAAACATGCTCCCTCTACAGGTTCTGGGAATAATCCTTCCTTGCCTCTTCCAGGTTTCTGGTGCCTCCTGGCAATCCTTGACATTCTTAGGCTTGTCAAGAATCCCTGCTTCTGTCTTCACATGGCCTTCTCTATGTGTCTTTCTCTCTCTGTGTTTTCTCCTCCTCTTATACAGACACCAGTTCATGAATTTAGGGCCCACTCTAGCCATTGTAACCTGGTTTTAACTTACTTACTTGTTCAAAGACCCTATTTCCACATAAGGTCACATTCAGAGGCTCTAGGCAGACAAGAATTTTGGGGTGCTACTATTCAAACCACTCCACCACCTGTGTCATTGCGTATTTTCCAGGTAAACAACATAGACTTTTTTTTTTAAACAGGCAAGGAGGGAACATTTTATTAGATATAAGTCTGTCTATGGAAGTACTCTAATATTGCTTATTTGGACGGATATATAAAATTTATTTATCTACATATTCATTTCGAGAATAAACATGTTACTCAGTTACCAATATGGTCCCAACGTTGTGCTAGAGTCCTGAGGGATATAAATATTATTAAATTTCAGTTGTGAAAAACAATCTCTTATCATGAGGAATGTAAAGAAAAGAATATAATGTTGTACAGCAGGTAACATATTTTGCTATATGATATATAATGATACATAATAATTAAAAAAGTTGCACAAAATAACTGCAATAAAAAACAGATTGAAATAAGCCTTTTACAATAAAATCTTATAGGGTGGCAGATGAGGGCAATCGTCCACCCAGGTGTGGTGAGCCCTGAGTGCTTTATTGAAGGGGTGGCTTTTGGAAGGAATGAAAGGATTAGAATTTATGGCTGTTCTTTCTCAACCAAGAAAGCAGACAAAAAGAGGTTGATTCTCAAAAGTTCCCTTGAAGGTGGAAAGATTGTTAGTTATTTATTGGTAAGAAGAAAGCAGTTAATTTTGGTGATTGTACTGAATCCAATTTCAGGCCAGCTTACTTGCAAAGCATGTGGTTTTAGTCCCCAAATCAGTGCTGTAGGTATGTGTTATCAGGAGGCTTTGGGGCGGCCAATCTGATTGATAGAGCCAAAGCTTAATACCCAGAAAAATAGATCTGAAAAGTTCCACCCTCAGCTATAACTACATCAGTGAACTCTCTGCTTTGCAAGGACACAGAATTTTTACTCAGCACTTCAGAAGCCAGAACTGCTGTTTTACTGGAGATTACGATCTACCTTACATTTCATTTTATTTGCTGTTGCAATCAATTAATTCCCCCAAATTCTAATTTCCTGCTTCAGAATGTTGGCTAGATGGCTACACTGTGTGAAGTTTTAAGAATGATTCTCAGGTGAAATTGTGTGACTTGTATGCTCCCGGCTGCAACTGGGTCGCTGTTTCTGTTCTCTGATAGAGGAATATCCAGTGTTCTCTGCTTTCAAGTAAAGGGGAAACTTTGATTTCTTAATTTCATGTCTTTTGTAAACATTGTTTTATACGTTTATAGAGTATTATTAATTTAGTAAATGAGGAAACAATGTATGTAAGCCATTTAGCACATATTTATCACTTAACAAATAGAAACTATCATCATAATTATTATTGTCATTGGATTCTAAGATAAAATTAGTTCAATAAGCAATGCTATGTACAAATAGATCTTTGCTTAGGAAACGGTTTTAAACAAACAAACAAATAAAAACCCCCATATTTCACTTAAATAAAAATACCAAAGTAAGACAGCACTGTTTCTCACTTACTTCCAGATGGGCTCATTCCATCTCTTAAAGTCTCTCTCCACGTGGCAGGAGAAGACTAAGAACCATGTGGTTAAGCTCCTACAAGCTTAGAAAAAATAGCCAAATGAGACAATCTTTTCAGATTGCTCAGCAGAAAAATCCCGGGGAAGATCCTGAATTGTTCGCATCCTGGAGCCAATCTGCATGGCCAGGGGAATGGGACACTTTCTTTTGCCCAGAATGAGTCACATTTTTATTCTTTTGTTAGACGGTCTAAACCCTACTCAAAATAGAAATGGATTTCTCACAGAAAAGAAAGATTCATTGCAAAAGAGTGACTTGATATTGGATTCATAAAACAAAATGCATCCCCCAAAACCATCAAACACTTCTGTCAGTCCCTGTCATCCTCACTTATTTCCCTACTATCCCTCCCATCAGAGCGGATAAGGGATATTGTAATCATTTCAGGTCCCAAGTCATGCATCATGCATTTGCATCTCCATGTTTTTGTTAACAATGCTCCCTTGGAAATAATTCCACCCTCAATCCAAACGTATTGAGGCTCTTCACTCTCCTCATTTTATATTTACTTGCTACGTTCAAATTCTCAATAACAATGGCACTAGGGAATCTTTAGTCATATAACACTAGCTAACTGATCATCTCCATCTCTGTGCCCGGGAGGAAATGGAAGAATTGCTTGGTTTTCAATCCTTAGAGATCCACTTTTCTATTGTATTTGCTTCTCAGCCCCTCCTTCACTCCACTATGCCCTCCTTTGTGCGTCATGGATCTACCACTGGTATTGGAATCTCTGTGCTTATCCAGCTTTAACATCGCAACTGGAAGTGGGTTTCATCCCCTCCCTGACGCCATACATCTTAGGACATCTTTACTCGAGAACATACACTAGATATGGGAGGGTAAAGGAGTTACCACTAGGTTAGAGATGTGAGAAAAGGAAATTCATAGAGGAAATCCTTTTGAGCAAGTTTGAGAACATGGACTGATTGCTGCTTACATGATGGACAAGGAGAAGAAACAAATCAAAATAGTTTATTAATGACTTACAAAATTATAAAGACACATACAATATCCCAGTTCATCCGTAATGAAAATCCATAACACAAGTTTGTAGGGTTTGTAGTTTTATTTTAAGAATTACAAAATGGTGTAGCTCAGTTGGTGAGAGTTTTTAAAAGTCAAAAAGTTCAT